CTGGTCCTGATCAGACACTTTCCTTTGTTTCTTTATCGCTGTCATCTCTTCCAGAAGATCACACACCATGTTTCTGTCCGTCTACCTTCACAAATGTTTATGAACCAACCAAAACGTTCAAACGAAATGACACCATACTTATTTTTATTTTTATTTTTTTTAATTTGGACCATTTCTCGATTTATGCGTGTCATCCTTGCGCAGGGGCCATGCTAATCTTCTCTGTATCGCTCCAATTTTAACGGATGTCCTGAAGGACAATGACACCATACTTATATGTTCTGCGTTCACAAACATGTCAAACAACCGAAATATTCAAAGGACTGTCTGGCAATCCCAATCTAGGCACACCGTCGATGTAAAGTTGCAAACCCCAAAGTTAATCAAATGAGCGACACCCTGGCACCAAAAAAAAAGAAGATATATCTACTTCTCAAGTTATTATCATACTTGTGGTCAGGTAGACAAGTAGGTACGGTCTAGATTGTCCACCCCACCTCCATTAGTATCCTACGCCTTCGTATTTCACACACACACACACACAAAAAAAAAAAGGGTCTAGGACCCTAGGTTGTCCAGTGCCTTTTTGTTTCTGTCAGATCTATTCTTACTTTGGAGAATAGAAGTGCGCATGGAATTTCATAACGTTGTTGCTGTTGTCGTTGTCCTTGTGTTTGTGCTTGTGCTTGTGCTTGTGCTTGTGCTTGTGGTGGTTATTGTTGTTGTCATTAACAACACAACACACTTGCCCCATCTATTCTGGGGGCCACCAATCCAGTTGTTCATCACCGGCAAGCAAAATGTCTGAGACTTGTTGTTTTCCGTTTCGAGTACTTCAACAAAGTTTGGAAGTGTTTTACTTTGTTGTGCAGATCGTCCAATGAATAGACTACACTGTTTTAACTTTTCGCTGTTTGCCACAAATGTACCTGCCTAAAGGTATGTTTTTTGCACCCCTTCTCATGTCCTGTTTTTTTTTTAGGTTTGTTTTGCCATACAGCTTCACTGCTTTTGAGTCTCAGTTTGAACTTTGTCGAAGTTCTTTGCTGTCCGAAAGTTCTTTGAACTTTCAACTTTCATTTTTTTTTTGTTTTTTTTTGTTTTTGTCTTGCGCGGCCATGCTAATCTTCTGTGTATCGTTCCAATTTTAACGGATGTCCCCAAAGGACTGGACTTTCAACTTCAAATAATCTTTTTCTTTGAACTTTGCTTTTTTGTCTCTTGCTTTTGAACTTCAGCTGTTTTGCGACTCTGTTTGAAGTTTGGCATGTTGAGGAGAGGGACGTTGAGAGGGACGCCGGGCGGAATATCCAGAGGGAGGTGGGGAGAAAAAGGTCAGTGGGAAACGGTGAGAGCAAGGTTTGTTACGAGGAGATAGAGGATGCCCAGATGGATGGAGGTCTCAAAGCAACAGTGGCGAGGCCTAAAGCGCGTGGGGTAGAAAGAGTGCTAGGTATCGAGATTGTGCAATGGCAGTGTTTTCTAGCAAAGGAGAGTGAGCAAGGTGTGTTACTCACTTCGCAACAGAGACGGTCCCCGGGCAGCCTGGACTGGCTGTGGCCTGCCCAGGTACCACGCAGTCCGGGCCGGCTGGGCGAGGTCCCGGCAGGGTCCCGGGTAGTACCGACGCAGAAAAGAAAAGAGAAACATGATTCAAACATAATTTTTTTTTAATGGAAAAAGCATACGTTGAAATACAACCAACTTTTGGCTGAGGGTCTCCCCCTCAAAATTCCTTACCGGCTGCAAGATTAACAAAGAAAAAAAAAAAGAAGGAAAAACAAGATCTAAGGTACTCTGCCCCTTTAAAGTTTAAACCCATTTTTTGAACCCTGTTTACACCCCCCAGCCCCTCTGTTGGTGACCCATCACCGAATCTGAAGCTAAGGCTGTACTCCCCTTGAAAAAAAAAAAAAAAAAAAGAGCAAAACCCAGCTTCACTTTATTTAATTTGACAAAGAATTCCCCCCTATGTCGTCTTTAGGGGTCTATTCTGACTGCTCAGGCCAAGCAAAATCTTGGTCGGAAGTCGGATTATTTTTATTTTTTTTTCAGAATCTTTGACATGCTTTTGTCCCACCCGGTTTTCCCAGGTGGGTGTCCCCCTGCCTGCCGGCTGGGGCATCCCCTGGGCGGGCTCAAAGGGCAAAGAGAGCACACCACACAACATGCACAAGCACACCAAGTGATACGCAATCACACTGAGAGATGTCATTCCGCAAGTTACAAGGACTGCCCAGCACTGCTTTGATAAGTATTAAAAAAGGATGTGTGAGTCGCACTCACAAGCTTTGGAAGAAGAACCGCCAGTGTGCTGACGCTGAATGAGGCGCAGGCACCAAGAGCAACTAGAGTGTTCATGTTCGGAGACCCCTTCCAAAAACTTGTCCAGCCATCTGTCATAATCTTACGGCCCGGTCCTAGTATAGAGACCACTGATAGAACCATGTGGAACTTGGGGGAATGAAGTATCGACAACCAGTGGGAGAGATGCGAATGGCCTTGAACAAGATGTGAAGCATGACACATCAAGCATGCTGCCGCAAGGGCCCATGCCACAGCTAATCTGCGACCTTTCAGCAAAGCACAGCACCACCCCACCACACCGCAACACACCATGCCACGATTACAACCCGTCAGAATGTCCAAACAGAGCAATAATGAGAGAAAGGATGGCCTAGAGGCTAGAAGTTGATTGCCGAGATGAAACCCAGAGCATGTGCAAAGCAAGTCAGTCGAATGAAAGATGTCTCTTTGGCTTTAGCCTCACAGCGAATACCTATTCCAATAGTCGGCCCCATAACACAACCGCATCACCCTTCAAGTAGTGCACAAAACGATGGCCTATAACTTCCTTTTTTTTTTTTTTTTGGAAGAAAACGATGGCCTAGAACTTCTACCCCTGGCCGGTATCGCCCACCTGCTGTAGCAGGTATCGCACCTGCTGGTAGGTGCATCTCCCGCATGTTCCCTCGTTGGAGGCTTGAGCACGGATGTGGCTGCTACGGGGTTCCCCGTAATACTATAATGACAATAAAAAAGGCCTGAAAGGCCGTCCTGTCCAGATTCGACAGGTAATTGAATTGGTTGGGCTTAAAGAATTAGCCTTTAAAAAAAAAAAAAGAAGAAAAAAAAGAAGTTGCAGAGCAGAAGACAGAGCACTGTCGGAAAACGTAGCATAGAAAGTTATTGCAGACAGACTGCGGTAGAGGGGTGGGGGGGGAAAGAAGAGGAAGGGAAGGCACAACCCAACAAAGGGGATACATGAGCAATGAGTTGTCTGATGAGGGGGGCAAATTTGCGAATATGTGCACATGTTGATGACAGGAGCAGAAAGCACCAGCTGTTTTGTGCACATGCGCCCAGGCATAACTTTTTTTTTTTTTTTTTTTTTGAAAAAAAATCAAAAAAGCCCTTGTGTAAGCCCTCTATCCCGGCGCCCAGGCATAACTACACTTATCATCCTGTCAAAACCACTCTACATCTGCCTGCATTGGGTCCACCTTGTACCTGCTTGCTGGCTGAATGGACGTACACGACACAAACTGTTGATCCACAGGTCAAGGGTTCAAATATTCTTCAGTCTACAGTACGAGGAGCTACCACCTTTGGAAAAGGCTGGTTCAGATCAGCAGACCGACAACTTCATTTGTCAAAGATACTGCTGTGGTTCACCTTCAGTAGCAGTCACAACCCCTCCTCCTCCTCCTCCTGCTTCTGCTTATGCTTCTTCTTCTTCTTCTTCGTCTTCGTCTTCGTCTTCTTCTTCTCTTCTTCTTCTTCTTCTTCTTCTTCTTCTTCGGATCCTTGGCTCGATTTGCCAAGGTGGTGGGTGGTCCCTGGAGATCTTGGATCTCCCAGGTCTACCCCCACAAAAATTTCAGATGGGTATGATGGCAATGGCGAGAGTACGATGGTAAAGGTGATGCTGTGGTTTTTAGGGGCGGCGCCCGCTGGGGCCCGTGAAAGGCCACACCCCTCTCCGATTGAAGGGTCTATTTGTGATGTAATGGGCTCTTTGTATGCTATAGAGATAGATATATATGGAAAAATGAGGAAAAAGGGTGATAGAAAGCTCTGCTTCTTGTTTTTCGGAAGGTAGGACCTCGGAATGATGATAGGATTCTCGCTTAGGGAATGGTTTGGAATGTTTTGGCCCGAACGTAGTAAGGGAAGACCGGTGACCGAACAGTACCTTTTTTGAATGCAGGAACCGGGGCTGACTGGGTTTTGGGGCACACGCGTGTGCCAGTGGTATTTGGGCGCCAGGGACCTAAAATAGGGAGCGGGACACAATGCGGGCCGCAGCCTGCAGCCAACGGTAACTCAGACCTTAGGTACCGAGTGTACCTCGGCGAAGGAGGCACAAATACGGGCAGATAGATGGCATTATCCTTTTTCTGAGGAGAGATTTGAAAACAGCAGAGCGCTGCCGCTCCTTGTAGTCGACTTCGGCAGTAAGCAAGCTATGACTCCGGGAAGTTGGGATTCACTACGATATGCGACCAACCAGAGATGTCAGAAAGACGGAGAGGGAGTGAGGGAGAGTAGCAGGTGGAAGAAGAAATGGGAGAAAGGGAAGGACTTGGCTGGTGATTGTAATGCATCTCGAGTTATAGCTGGATGTGGGCATGCCCATATCACCTGGTGGTTACCCTCCTGAAGAGACCTGAACGCACAGGTGTCGAAACGCGTCGAGGGGATGAGTAGCTTTGAGGGGATGCGTAGCTTTATATGGTGTTTGATGAAAGGCTGAGCTGACAGTGATTGGTTTCGATTGAGCCCTTTGTCCTCCATGGGAGCAGTTCTTATGGCTGTTCTGTGTTCTTACCCTTGAATTCTTCTTCTTCTTCTTATTATTATTATTATTATTATTATTATTATTATTATTATTATTATTATTATTATTATTATTTTTATTATTACTATTATTATTATTATTATTTTTTTTTTTTTTATTATTACTATTATTATTATTATTATTATTATTATTATTATTATTATTATTATTTTCCTCCTCTGTTGTCGTCCTCCTCCCTGTCTCCTCCTCCTCCCCCTCTTGCTTGTCCATCTGTTCAGTGACCGAGCCATCACTCTCGTCTGAAGCCCTGGATGGAGCACTTCCTGATCGTGTTATTGTCGCAAGGTGATACATTCACCATAGATTGTTCTTTTCCTCCTCCATCCTCGTCCTCCTCCTCGTCCTCCTTGCTCCTCTTCCTTTCTCCTCCTCCTCCTCCTCGTCCTCCTTGCTCCTCTTCCTTTCTCCTCCTCCTCATCCTCGTCCATCTGATCCTTAATTGAGCCATCACTCTTGTCTGGAGTGCTCCTACAGTTCTGTCAAGCTGATAGATTCACCATGGATTGTTCCAATTCTCCCTCCTCAAGGAGCCGACAAATCTATCGCCACCTGCCAGTTGCCCAGCCTGTCGTTGTGTTCCGATCGGAAGAATGAACCCCCCCAGAAGCATCATTGCCTTGCGGTAAAGTTTTGGTTAGGTTATGAGCCTTTGGTGTCTCTTTGCTGTTGTCATTCAGACGATTCCTTGATCTGTGCATGGAGAGTTCCCCGCACATGATCCAAGACAATGTTCTCTGTATTGTTGCAATTTTAATGGCTATCCTAGGGGACTCTCCTTCCACAACTTCCTTCATTCAAACTTTCTTTTCATTTAGCAATTTATGAGCATCATTCAGAGGTTACACAGTGTCATTTAAGGGTCTCACTGACTCTCACAGCATCATTTCGCAATTTACGAGCATCACTTAGAGGTTAAGCAGTGTCATTTAGGGGTTTAACAACAGTGTCATGTAGGGGTTTAACGGCAGTGTCATTTAGGGGTTATGCAGTGTCATTTAAGGGTTTAACTTCAACAGCATCATTTCGCAATTTACGAGCATCACTTAGAGGTTAATCAGTGTCATTTAGGGGTTTAACAGCATTATTTACTGGCTTAGCAGCATCATTCAGGGGTTTACCGTCATCATTTTAAAGGTTTATCTTCATCACAAGGGGTACTCACCATACCCTGCTGCATGCCACACCCCCGCCTCCCTTTCGCAAAGGCCTTAACTTAAACCACCAGTACCTCGCCCAGCCTGCAAAAATCGTCGCGGCGGTTAACGCGCCGCGACATTCAGGGGCCCACGGCTGCCGAGATTTCGCATCGACGGTCCTCGGCGCGGCGCGGGCCTCCGAAAGTTGCGGTGAGGGCCCCGGTCACAGGATCATATATTTTGGCCGAGGTACTGGTGGTTTAAGCCACCAGTCCAACCGAGCAAATTGACGGACCCAAAAACCCAAGTGTCACAGGATCATATATTTTGGCCAGTCCTAAGCATCGAGTTCACAGTTTGGTCAGTGTAGGCTGCAGTAAACTGGAGATAAAAAAACTGCTTGGGAGGGTTAGAGCCTAGAGGTTTGATTCCAGGGTTCACCCACCAGCCCATCCGAAGATGATACTGTTTATCCGTTTTCATAAAGGAGTACCGCCCCTGTGCCGTCCACGTCAGGGCCGATAGAGAGACGGATGAACAGTAACTTCGGGCCCTAAAATGTCTGTGGGCGGCCGAGACTTTTCAATTATACAGAGGCTGATTCCAGTACTGTGTTGATTTTTCCAACGGCTGGTACCGGTCGCTTTTAGGCTCAGCAAAATGTGTTTTCTGGTTCGTCAATATAGCTTCGGTTGGACTGCTGGCTTAAGTTAAGGCCTTTGGGAAAGGGAGGCGGGGGTGATGCATGCAGCAGGGTATGGCAAGGACTCCTTAGGCGAGTAAGGAAGTTGTAATTGCCGGTTTAGATATTCTAGAGGCGTGATGATTTGAGTGCTTGGGGGCTCTTTTGGCGGGGAACAGCAATAAGGACTCAATTGCAGCCTTGAGGAGAGCAAGTGTCACAAGTACTGCAGTCATAGAGACTTGATTACAGTTTGACGAAAAGTGAGGTCTCAAGAGCCTGAATAAATTCTTCAGAATGATTTCTGACCTCGACGGACCGTAAATTCCTGACTCTGAACTCTTGTTGTCCGGTAAAGCTACCATCTTCATCCGAATAGAACGCCCGGTCATTATGGCTGCATCTGGACTGAAAATCGCCCCAAATACAGCTATAATGACCGGGCGTTCTATTCGGGTGAAGACGGTACGTCCTGGCCCCTGGGAAGTCGGCTTCGCCCTTTAGGACCGTGACTACCTGAGCTACTGACCGAGTGGTACATATTTACAACGGTATGGCCCACAGGTAAGGAGTTCCAATTCTGTACAATCCTATAATGTCAGGGGATAACGCCTTCAAGAAACAGAGGAGCAGCAGGGTAAGCAGGAGGAGGAGGAGGAAGAGGAGGAGGAAGAGAAGCAGGAGGAGGAGAAGGACGAGGC